TTTCCTTTTACACTAGGTTTGATAGGTATTTAATACTCAGAATAAAGTGGAGAGAGTCTTTTGGTTATTACGAATTTGGTCAGATGAAAAATTTACAGACATGTAACAAATAAAGAAGAGCTTATTTTTTGTTGTACTTTTATCCTATCAAATCTTCTTTCTCATTCAAATATGAAATATTGGTAAAATTCTCTCATTTGAGTAGTTATGTTAATTTTATTCAAATGACTTTTTTTATTGGGTGTTTTATTTGGATATATGTATACATGTATTTTTATTTTTATTTAAATACCGTGAAATACATTCGAATACACTATTAGTATATATATATATGTTATTTAAGTTTAAAACCAAAGTATTAACGATGGGTAGTTATTTAAGTTTATTCGAATATATACATGTATTATCAGATATAAATGCTATTCATACACTACTAATAATACTATCAAATAAAGTAAATTTTTCTTTATTTGAATAAACAACATAATTATTTTAATGAAACAACTCTATTAAGCTATTTTATTTGAATAATTATGTTATTTATTTAAAATAATATTTCAATGAAATATTTATTTGGTTGTATTCGAATAGTATACCAAATAAATAAGTTTAGTTTATTCAAATAAAAAATAAATTTAATCAAATACGAAAAAAAAATAAACATACAGTAACTTGAAAGGGTAAAGGTGTAATTCTTCTTTAATTATAATTTTTTTTTTCATTCATTCAATTCAAATAATTTTATAATTTTATTCTTTTTTTTTACTTATTTTTCTCAAACCAAACAAATTCATTTCATTTCATTTTTTTTATCTATTTCTATTCACTTATATCTTCCTCTTCTATTTTTAACCTATTTCTCTCCCTACAACCAAATACAATTTTAAAATGTCAAATAATATTTTCCATCATAAAATTAATTAAATTTGGAGCCTGATAATTATTCATGAATTTAGTAGATTCAAAAATTTTATTTATACATATGAATTTAATTTAAAGACTAATTTATAAATGAATTTAATTATAATGCACTTACAATATAATAAAAGTTTATACTGTCATTAAATTCTTAACTGTTGTGTATGATAAGATAATTAAGTTTTATAATTATTATTTTAAAATCATATATAATTAATTTTATTTAATTGACAATATACAAAACTATACATTGATAGTATACCAAAATTAATAAACTTTCAATAATAAGGTTACCAATTTCAAGAATTAATTGTGCAAAAAAAAAAATCAATTGGAATTTCATAAAATCTTAATGTAAAACAATCTTACATATGAATATTGTAGAAATTACTAGGTTAAAATGTATTTCACAATTCAACTTAACTTTTTGCTTTATTATGTCAAGTTAATTAGATTTCATTTTAGACCATGAAACTCATAATTTGGTATACCTTTTCTTATCGTACATATAAAATATAATATCTAGTTTGGTTACTCACAATTATTCATAAAATAAAATACTAGAATGTACACTACCTTTTTATGCTACTTATAAATTACACCAAACTTGGTAACATTTTCCGAAATTTCAAAGCCTACCATTTCTTTAATTTAACAGTAATACCAAACTTAAAATATAAATCATTACAACAATTTTATAATAATTTTTTTCTCCTAAACTTCTCTCCATCATCATTCATCTTATCACATTTTGTTTTTATTAATAAATATAACATTATACTCTTCGATCATGATCATCAATGAAGCTTCCCAATAAAAAAAATTATACTTTTGATTTCTTATCCAACGCTATAAGACTTTCTTCTTATCTTTGTTAAAATATAATACTTGTGTGAAAATAACGTTTGTTGCTCTTAATCAAATCATAGCAAGCATCGATTAATTAAGCAAATACTAGCAGATTAGTACATATAAGTCAATGCATGAGTAAAACACCGAAATCAAACAAAAGTCTCACCAACATTCCGCATAAGTAGACATAAATATTAGATATATGGTCTTTGCTCACTTACTGAGTGGTCAATGTCTTACAGAAAATCAGCACCTATTTTTTTTCCAATTGCGAGAATATTAAACCCAAAGATAATCAAATAAAAAAAAAGCAAAAAGCATAACAAAATTGTATGGCGACTCGTTGTCCCATACACACTAGAACTACCCTCCTCACTCATTCCACATTGTGAACACCCCACCATTTGACGTCTGCATGGACTCCGCCGCCGCCGCCGACCAACCACCGTAGCCTCCGGCGGGCATGTCATAGTCAACCTTCACCAACCCTAGCTCCTCCGCCGTCCCCACGGCGTTCCCCGACGCAGCATTATTCGAAGCCATACCAAATCCATTCACAAACCCACCAACATTACTATTATTATTGTTACTATTATTATTATTATCCAACACAGATGAAGAAGAAGAAGAAGAGCCAATGTTCATCATTCCCTGAAGCAACGCAGGGTGGTTCTGAAGGTAACCGTTGTAGAGCTGAGCGTTGTTCTGAAGGTAAGACGAAACGCCACTCTGCTGGTGCAACTGAAGCTGCGTTTGGATGTAACCCTGGTGCAGCGACGAAGGGTCTTGGTGAGAGAAGTGAGAACCTATGTCGTGGTTTTGGAGAGTTAGCAGAGGCTGAGGTTGCTCGAACTGGTGATGCTGCATTAGAGGGTACGCGTGGTGGAGCCTGCTAGAGCTTGAGGTTCCGTATTGAAACGTGGATGAACCAAGTGCTATCATCTCTTCACGTTTCCTCGAAGACTCTAGAGCTTGAGCTTCCTTCAACCGTTTTGCAGCGCCTCCTCCTATTGGGAGAGTGTTGCTTTCGAGAATGGCTTTCACGTCGTAACGACTCATGTCAAAGTTGGTCACAGCGTTCAAACCTCTGAACTTTATGGCTGCTATGTCGTATGCTTCTGCAGCCTCTTCCTCAGTACCTGCAATCGGAAGTAGTTTGTTTTCACATGAATAAGATATTTGTGTTGGTTTACTTTTCTTTTTTTTCTTTTTTATAAACTTAATATTACACTGCTAAAAGTAATTAAAAGACTAATAATTTGAGATTCTTAAATTTCTTTAAGGAGTTATTATTCATAGAAATTACAAAGAGAACAACAAAATTTGAATTTATAACTCTGTAAATATTACTTCAACTTTATACATCATAGTGGTTATAGAGGTTAATCTTTCTTAATAAATATTTTTCTTTTCTATATGGATGATAGTTGTTGGTTACTTTGAACTTCTAGCTATTTGGTGTAACTTTGTTTGCATGGGGTTAAATGTGTGGCTTACTGAAAGTTCCTAAGTAAAGATCTTTGTTTCCTGCGACCCTGCCAATCCTCGCCTGCCATCTCCCGTGTTGGTGATGCCTGAACAAAAAATAATAATATTTATGAAACAGTGTAGAAATTAAAGAAGCGAATGCATTGTATGATAGGAATAAGAGAAGAAAGCACTGTTGTCCCGTTTGACACCTTGTAACTCCGCGATACATTGATGCACCCCTGGAGAAACCACTGCTTTTCCTGCAAATCATTAACACACTACCTTCAACAAGCATTTGAAAGAGTTCTATGGAAATTGCAAAAGTGCCTTATAAACTCTTTTTAATTAAGTTATTTCAACAAGTATCATGTAGAAACTCATCAAAACAAGCCCTAATTATTTCAAGAAGTATCATATATTAAGTTCTCAGGTATCGAAACATTTAATTAAATAAAATGGTTTATGCAAAAGCAATCTTAATATTTGTATGTACCCTAACAAAGTAACTACTTAATTTAAAAATTGAGTCCTCTTGTCACCGTTATTGCACTATATATTATTGATTTGTATATAATCTTTAGGCATGCTATCTCTCTTAACTAGTCACCTTCTAATGGCGGCAACAAATTCCTGTCTCGTCATGTGTTTCATTTCATCCAATTCCTTCTCATAGTTGCTAATCTGTAAAACAAAATGAAATCAACAAGACTTTCCTTTGAACCAGTGTCTGTGAAGAAGCATTGAGAAAGACTAATTATCTTACAGGAAAGTTGGTAGTGGTGGATGTTCCCCAATACTTCAGTGCAGCCAAATCATAAGCCCTAGCTGCTTTCTCTTCTTTATCATATCCACCTGCCATTAAGTAACAAAAGGAAAACAATACATTTTGTCTTCTGATTTTGCTTCTCCAGAAACTTAAATAAATGGAAAGTGTTTGAAAAAAAATAGAAATAGAGACACTTACCCAAATAAACTAAAGGAAGGTTGATAATAAATTTGTCCAGAAACAAAACAATAAGAGAAATGTGTTAATAAAACTCCCAATTAATAATATTTTCCAAAAGAAAAACACTTCAAAAGTATTCAACTTTAACAAAGAAGAAAAGAAGAATAAAACCGTAAAATTAAATAATAATTCAAAGTCTAATCACCTTGGCGACCCTTTCTTGATTGTCCTTCCCTTCTACAGCTATTATCCCAGAGGTGAGCTTCATACCTTCCAGTCCATCTATGTCTAAATATATTCATATAATTTTCAAAATTAGAGATAAAAAAATAAAACAAAAAAAGTATGCAAAAAATAAATTGATTCATTGAAGCATAGAATGTCTATCCAACCGTGTTACACCACGATAAATTGATGTTCTCTGGCCGAATGTATCCAAAGTTCTTCTAGGTGCAGCTTCAACAGTGTTTGTACTATTTTCACCACTGGTTTCGCATGTTGAATCCTTTCCACTTCCCATGGAAAGTGTCAACGATTGCAAATTACTATTACCATTTTCTTGATAGTCATTGCTAGGTGTGTCCACCACTGGGTTTTGCATAGGCACGAGACTGTTGTTCGTGAACAGATAATCTGAATCATTTGACTGAATTTCGTTTAAAGCAGCAAGGTCTGACTGATTTTCAGACTTGCTCACTCCAAGAAAATCAGCCACTTTTGGAACTTCGTTGCTGCTATGACTGTTAATCAGATTCCAATCTGTTGAATTAAATAACACAAAAAAATAGGTAAAAATAGAAAGCTAAATTTAATAGAATGAGAAAAAGAAGAGAGAGAAGGGTACCATGATTTTGGAAAGGGTTTTCCATGTTCTCATTCACCAAACCAAGAGAAAATTGATGGTATTGAGTGGCTTGAAGATCATGAGCTGGTAAGGAAGAATGAGTAGGAGAAAGAGGGAACGAAAGCCAGTTGTTGTTCATTGATACTTTATTTGCTTGCTTTACCTTTCAACAAATCAAGAAACACCTGTGTCTAACACATTCAATAAGGAGATGGATATGAACTATTGAGTATATGCATATATTTGCAAGAGAGAAAAAAAAAAAAAAGAGATATAGGTTTACCAAGGGTTCTAGCAAGGGTTTAAATCAATGAACACTTTGTATCTCTCCCACCTTTCAACTTCCAAACTTGAGACAAAGGGAGAGAAGAAAGGGTTAACAAAAGAACATTTTAACAATATTTAAAGTGCTTCCCCTCTCCCCTCTTCCCCCTTCTCTGTCCTACTATGTATTAATATATAGTTTAAAACTAAGTAATTATCATGATGTGTGAGTGTCGCACCCCTCTAGCCAAGGTCGTTTTTGTAGACTCTGACTCTTTTCCATCGGTTTCCAACACTAGAAAACAAAGTTAAAATCTGCCTACAATGATTATTAAATAATTAATATCTATGTAATAAGATATTATTAGGGACACGAGTGTGTTATTAAACTATTTTCCCTCAAATCCTTCAGTCTTTGACCAGAGACAATACCACCATTGTAACTGGAAAAATACAATCACATACACCTCCTCACCCTCCCTCTCTCTCTACCCACTTGGTTTATTGGAACTCTCGTCCTCGTTCTGTGAAAACAATGACTCCCAAAAGCCCAGCATTCCCACACACTACAAATCATCTCTCGGTCTCAAAATCAACGACTCTACGTAAAGTTACACTACCGACCTCTCTCTCTCTTGGTGTACACAAGCCACATATACACTTATATAATGAATGAAACTATAATAAAGATCTGAAATGAGATTAAACATCATGTAGAAGATCAAGTCCATTGTAGAGAAACTCTCTCGAATTTAGTAGATGTATAAATTAACAAAGAAAAACCAATCTATGGATCCCCGAGTCATGCATGTGTTAAAGATGCATGAGTACGGTCATGCAATATTATAAGGTGAAAATCCGACATATTAAAAATTAAAAGTACTGAAAGAAAGAGTAAGAATTACTTTTTGTTCAAAATGAGACCAAGCTGTATTGCATATTTATATTATTTAATTAACGTGATTCAATTGAGCAGCAATTAAGAAATATAATTTGAAGGGTTTGGTTTGTTCCCCCAAGTAAAAATCTGTTGACCACCTACTCGGTTTCCTCACCCGTCAAAAGGCCACTAGCTTGAAATTAGTTTAAATTAAATTAATTAAACAAGTGCTATCATGTATTTGCATTTTGCAGGTTCATGTCCTTCTCAACACCAGAAGCTTGTATTCTGCTTTTGTTAAGGTTCAAGGTCCATTTTTAGGATATAAACAAATTAAAAAGATCCAGCTATAACCAACACCTACGCACAGTGACTTAAGTTACCCGCACTTAGCATTCTATGTTAGTCCTAATGCATCTTCACGTATCCGAATGAAATGATTACTGAACATGGTACAAATTTCATATTTTATGGAATGTCTAAGTTATGGCTCAATAATATATATAGTATATTCAACTGCTAGAGATAGGGAATAAATTAAGTGACTAGCTAGGCCAAGCTTGGATCTCGTAATATACCGCAATTACAGCACCACACACGCACACACACCTTTTGTGAACATATATTTGGTAGCTTAAGCACAACGTTAAAATGTTCAGTACAATTATAAACACAAACAATAATTTTTATATCACTGACAATACATACGTAAATATTTCATACAATAACATATGTTGAGAGGAATGAAATAACAATGCTACACTTAATATTATGTATGTGTAATTACATGAACTACTACTTGTCATTTATAAATTTACAAAATATGTAAAAGGTGGTAGAGAATTTCCCGTGCTACAATCAGGTTGGTTATAAGCAAATTCTTATATGATATGTAGGTGTAACAAATCATAAGCTGAAGATAATATTTGTTAAAACAACTTCAGCATATATTTTTACATAAACTATTACTCCAAAACTATCACATTTGTTTGATGCATATATCCTACAATTTAAAATTTTCAAATGGAGTGAGAAGATTAAAAGCGCCGCTATATTTATAGAAAAGAACGATTCCATAATTGAATATACGATTTTCAGAGTATAAACATTATCAGTTAGTCAGTGCAAGAGCGAGGGAATCCATGCATGTCATCTGTTCACAGAACTTATTATTTTTCTACCAAATGGAGAAGTGAAGAACTTTACTAATAAAGTGATTAGAGAAATTAGAAACCTTGGACCAAATCAGCCCAGATAGTTAACTAGGTAGCCATGAGATGAATTAGAAGAATCTAAACTAAAAAAATACGATTACTATATATAACATATATTAATTAATGTAGTAGCGATATTACCAACAATAACAGTGAGAAGCACTGGCAGTAAAGAATAAACAATTACAAATACCTGCCAATGTTGATGATGCACTGTTCCCGCCAAATTCTTGCACATAAACAATAGGTGATTTTGACCGAAGTGCACACAATAAGGGAGCAAAACCCCACGTCTTTCGCTGTTCCAATTTTTATACCTCAAAAACACTAAAACTAGAACTAGTTCTCCTAAGCGGTGAAAACACTCTCCATTATTCCAAACGTCAAAACCCTTTTGTCCATTTTTACCTAATTAAGTATTTTCCTTAAAACTTAAAACTTATGCATTCAAGAAGACGAAAAACACAGGTCTGAAGCCTAAAAAACAAAAAGGAGAGTGGAAATCAAAATGGAACTAAAAAGAAGAAAACGAAGTGCATGCATTCATGAGGAATCTGTTTCTCTCAGTGTGTGGAAGTGGTTTTATTTTTTTTCTTGAAAAATGTGGAAGACGAAGAGAATAAATAGAGTTTAGCGAATGGAAGGAAGGAAGGGGTGCATGGTTGGTGGCGTGGCGCTGATTCGCCACCGGCCATACACAGTCAACCCGAAATTAATCAGCTTGTCACGCCGTTTCAGGTTCAGGAGAATGTGACTGACACGTGTCCGTTGTCCCTTCCTGCTTCGGGTTCTCTTTGTCTTCGGCCTTTCACTTTCAAACTTTGCAGCCAAACGAACCAATTATCCTGTTTGCATGCCTGCACTAAAAAACACGAATAGCTAAAGAACTTTGACCACGCTTTCACCACCAAAATCATCTTTCATTATTACTAATATTATCACCAAGAAATACCTCTATATACATCTTCATCTTATTCATTAATTGTTACTCCAAGGATTAATATTTGATTTCCAATTAATTAGTCATGCATTTTGTTTACAGGTTTAATGGACATGCAATCTAATGTAAATGTAAAAGTTTTAACAAAACTTATATACAATTTTTTTAATACGATTTGTATTATTTTCTAATTAAAATTAAATTTTTATCTTAATATTATATATAAATGCATATTATTAATATTTGCATCATATATATATATATATATATATATATATATATATATATATATTATTGAAGTAAAATTTTGATTCTTAAAGAATCATGTTAACGGAACAAAATAAAATATATCTAAATTTTGTCATAAAAGTTTGCGTACTATCAACTAATTAAAAATTATAATTAGTATGACTTTTAAGATGATTAATATAAAAGTAAACAAATTTATAATAAATAATAGTTTGTGATTTAGATATAAAAGTGTATAATTTTTTACATTGTTATTGCATATTTTTTCTCTTTATTTATTTAGACATTAATCAACAATTTTTTGTGAGGAGGAAAATTATAGTGCCAATAATAACAAGTTTTGACGATTTGAAGGACATGAGGGTAATTGCATGAAGGGTTGGAGGGCATTTAAGGGCAAGGGAGCTCACGAGGATCCAGAGAAAAATTTGAGAATTTCCAAGAGATGGGAGGAAATGCCGGGAAAGTGCTCGTGTCGCCTCGAAATGAAACACTCGAAAAGGTTGATGTGTTATGTTTGGTTTGGTGTGAGGCCCTCCTCAATGTGATCTTTCAACCCTAGCTAACCCTTAGTAGCTTTCTAGGTTTAGGTTTGTTTCTAAAGCACCAGGGCTAGCTAGCTGAGGATAACCAAGGAGACAACAAACATAAAATAAAATTCCCTGCATATAAGCAAGCACAACTTCTGCATGTATGTATGTGTTCCTGGGATTCGGAAAACAGATAGAGTAGTTAGACATGATTTTATAGGAACTTGTTTTTTTAAATCCGAAAACTAAGTGCATGCAGAGTCATTATAATCACCAATACATAATAATTAATTATTAATTTTTTGATCAAACTCTCTCTCCCTCTCTATATATATATATGCTATACTCCGTTTTTTAAAAGAGTGAAATTTGTCCTGAATAAATAAAAGGCCTGTAGAATATGATGATTTTCAATGTAAGTATTGGTGTATTTTTATTCATGTTTGTGTCTTCGCTCTTTTGAGTGCGCACAGAAACTAAGTACGACTTCGTTGTGTGAATGAACTGAGATATACTCATCAATATATTGTTCCATGTATTAGTAAAACATACATAACATGATAGCGATGGATTTGGTCAAATATATATCAGATTCCGTAACATTTGATTCCAAAAACATAAAAGGTTCTCCCATATATTTGTTTGTTTTGTTTTTATTTCAAAATATTTAAGATTTGTGTGTGATATTTACTTTCACACTCATTTAAAGGTTAGAAGAGTTTCACATGTGTGTTAGACAGTGTATCCATTCTTTTAAAATAATATTAATTTACACAAGGTGTATTAGATTAAGAGTATGTCTACAGTATTAGAATAATATTATAGAATTTTTTTTTTCACAAAAAGTAAAGAATTTTTTCGATAGTTAAATTTTTAAAAGTATTTTTAACTTATATCCAAACAAGTTTTAAGTATATCCATAAGCTTCTTTAAAATAATGTTAAAAGTTAATTAGAAAAAGTTGTTTTTATTTTTCTTACATTATCTTTCAATCACATATTAATTAACACTTAACTATATATGCTAAATTTATTGATTTGTATATAATCATCATTGTTTAAAATTCATACATGAGAATTTTTTTTATTGATTGATAATTAAAAAATTCTTCATATATATTGACAATATATAAAAATTTTATATTCAGAAAGTTATTATAGCACTTTTTTTTTTGTAGTGATTATAGTTATAACACTTTGATGATTTACGCTTTGTTTATTTGATGAAGAAAGAGTATAATTAAGAATTTTATTTTTTATAATTTCAAAAAATAAAAAAGAGGAAAATGACTTTACTATTTGCT